AATTAAGATGTACTAATATTTATTTTAACATCGATGGTAGAGATTAGGAGGGTACAAAAATATTTTTAACATTGGTGTTAGAGCGAGGGAGGGTGTGGCGTCACTAATGAGGAGGGTGTGGTGACGTATGCCTTTCCACTACCAATCACTTACCACCGCTGGAATTTTACCAACAAGTTATGTTCTTCCCGACCTTGGCTTATGTTTATTTTATGCTGTGTGCCTGGTTCTTCTTTCTCTCTCTCGCTATACACACAAACTATTACCCCCTCCGTTTTTCTTCTTCCCTGAAATTGTTGATCAAGAAAGACGTTAGTTAAACAGAAATGACCCAGAACTTGTCTTTAGTAAATCTAATATACGCTTGAATAAAACCTCCCTCACTCACAGAAAAAAGGCGTCACATCATGAAAGGCGGTTAACTGAAATGCACTTAAGTGGCCGATCGTCAGTCCCACTTATCTCTTGAACCGCCTAGTGTACAGGGATGAAAGTTATTCATTTTTATGTATTTCATCACTAGGGTGTGTCATAACTCTTGTGTCGAGGGGCAGTGTCACAATTAAGAGATCAAAGGTGAAAATTTGTGAAATGTTTTATCCCTGACTCACGATAGTGAATGTTTTGGTTCACAACAGTCGGTGTGGTTGAGGGAGAAATTGAAGCCGTTTATTTGTCATGATGTTAACCAAGAGAAAGTGTACTAAGAGTTTTACATGGCTGAAGCTTTCCTGACAAATTTATCTGAAAAACACATTATGAATTAGTTTAATGATAGTAATGATAGTAAAATCGTGTTTGGTATCCACTGTACTATAATCTGGTTGCAAGAGTACTTAAGATAAGAAGATTTACAGCCCGTGGGATAATGACGAATTATTGGACTTTTTTGTGGATGGGTGCGGCAGCGGCGGCAATCTTTATGGTATAATCCTGCCCATCTCACCCACCCTGTGACCCACCGGCCCACCGTCACCGCACTCCGCCTGCTTACTAACTATAATACCACGGCAAAATTTTGGTGTTTTATTAAGCGAAGTATTATTTGTTTATTGTTTGGGTTACTCTATGACTCACTATAACATGAAGTCTATACAGTATGGTGTTAATATGGTATGGTGAAGTGTAATGAAGCCTCATGTTGTGATCATAGTGTACGTAATGTGTGTGAGTATCTTTAGTAGATATAACCTTTGAAATTTAATATAATAATCAAGCTTATCACACAAAAAGCCTTCAATACTGATAATATACTGCAGTAACTATGCCTAGCAGATGGGACCTTTTAACGCTGTACGAATAACACTTAAAATTAGATAATATATCAACTTTAGGAATATTATCCAACGAAAACGAACGTCGACTCAAATCTAAGCTTACACTTCGCCGGGTTGTGATTGGTTGGAACGCATAACGTCAGGTAACCAACCTACCCTACCCGAACCTAAACACTTTCCCTCTACATTGACCTTGCCTAAGATATACTGTAGGTGGATGGTTCACGTCGTCGGTCATCGTAGAGGCGTTAAAAATTTATATATATATATATATATATATATATATATATATATATATATATATATATATATATATATATATATATGATCTCTCTTTACAAGCATACAGTACGTCACACGCTTCAACCAATCACATACTTTGTAACAGGCGTTTTAGTAGCATGTAGCAGCAAAGATAAGAGACTTTTTAGTCCTTGTGTAGCAGGAACTTGTTTATGTCTTTCCTGTTTTACTTGTGTTGGTGGGTGAGAGGCGCCAAGATTACCTCGCTGACGACGACTGTGGTGTGTGTCACGCAAACTCCTAATTGTCCCGCTTATTTATGCTGTTAAACTTGTAACCTGAAGTTGTGTATGTCATGGCGGCAGAGCCCATAGCTACAATGCTACAGCTGATTCTTAATGGTTCGAACATTTTTATTTTATCTTCGGCTGGGAATAAGAGATCGTATTAGTTTCTATATACAGTACAGTTGTCTCACTGCAAATTCAGCTGCCATATTTATACAGCCATTGCTGAGGAGAGCCTGTTGAATGCGACCTCGCACATCCACTTACAGTAGATAGAAAAAATAACTCACGAAGGTTTGAGAATCCGAGTCTTGGCATGGTAGTATACCAGTGTCAAGTACTAATTCTTACACTTTGTTGTGTTTGTTGTGGATGGCTGTAATGCGGGTCTCCTCTCAACTGGTCGTCCTTTTGTGATATACGCAGACAATAGGTGCTCCCTGGTGGAACAACCACTTACGATTGGTTGAAAACACGACTCTTCACAATAAAAAAAAAATATTTTGTAAGCCGTCTTCTTTCAATAAATTACAGTATCTGTTGTCTATGATTTTTTTTAAAGTTGTCCCTCACTGGAGCTAGTTTTAGGGCACCCTCATGCATCCTGTGTATGGTGAAACTCCAAATCGTACACAACGCCCAGCAGGGAAGCACACTGAGTTCATGCATGTCTACAGTATGTACTGTACATGA